TATACATCATCCTTTTACATATTACAACATGAAATATGGATCCTAGCTTTCTTAATAATTCATTTAGGGTTGAAAATTATTTTAAGGATAAATTCGAACTAAATAAATTTCATTTCATCTTGTAGATGTCGAATGAGAACAAGCTTCCTCTTTCTCCCCCTCCCACTCAAAACTTAAACTTCTCGATTAACTCACAAGTAGAATTGCTTGGGTTGGATTTGTAACCTAAGTAGTTGCTTGAGGTACAAAGGAAAGGAGTATGTCCACGAAAAGGATCTACCCTATGTGGATGATAACACTTCACCAGAAGATTTAGCTTTTTACGACAAGCATGACAAAGGATCTACTAAAGTTGATTGCATCATGTTGGCGACGACGTCAACTGAGCTTCATAAGAGCTTTGAGAACTATGTGGTGTTTGAAATAATTAAGCATATCAAGGAAATGTTCCAAGAGCAAGCTCAAAAAGAAATATTCGACATCGTCAAATCCTTGATGACATACAAACATCAAGATGGGAATTATATGTGTGCGCACGTTCAGTTTCGTATTTCGTATCATCAGTTCATCATGAACTCTCTTTCTATTTCGTATTTCTAGGGAACTTGGGAATTATATAGCTGCTTTCTATGATTATGAAATATGGAAAATGGATGTGAATACTTCTTTCCTTAACGGCAAATTGCTAGAAGATATCTACACGGCGCAACCTGCGAGCTTCATTGATCCAAAATATCCTAATATGTGACAACTGTAAAAATTAGGTCAACGTTCGTTAAACTTAATCACTACGAACATAAAATGTAATAGAACTAATGTAACACATTCAACTCATTTCAATGAAAATAACTTTTTATACTTCGAAATGCATGTGAAATATAATTTAAATCTTCAATTGGTGCAAATTTTTTATGATCAAACATTTTTCATTATACGTCAATAATGATTTGATAAATATGATTGAAATATATATGTGTGTGTGTGTGTGTGTATATATATATATATGAGATAGGTTCATATATTCTAACTATTTATTGTGTGGATGTAGGGATTAATGTGAACAAATCATTTCAAAAACCCACATAAGGGTAAAATTGTAATCTTACCTTTTAAATAATTATAGAAAATATTAAACCAATTATTATCCCTTAAATTAGGACAATTCAGTTTGAAAACCCTTTCAATGAATAAATCACCACACTAAGTGTGACACCGTAAATTTGCAAACAAATTTTTCGTTTCTAAATCACATAAAACTCATTATCACATTTTATCAAAACCCCAATGTATCAATTATCAAAAACACAAATCAACAAAACAACTATTAATATCCCAGAATCCTCAAACATAAATCCTGAATAGGTGTGTATAATCAAGCCGGCGCCTTCCCGTGATCCTGAGAAGTACCTTAAACACATATCACACAACACGGTAAGGACCCTTCGGTCATGTGTCTTAGTGAAGACCCTCCGGTCCTAACCAATAAAGCACAAGATAATATACAGCATAAAGCACATAGACAAATGCATGATATTACATACTCAATATAAGCATATAAGACCCTCTTGTCGTGCAGTATTACCACTCAGGTAAGTATAGTGAGAAGACTTACCTCGTAAGTAAAGCAAGTATGTCTCGTACTCGAACCACCGGTCTAGCCTTCGCCTAACATATATCAGAATTAACTCTAATTAATAAACGACCCCCCAAAGATGTTAGGCTAAACCCACTACTAATTTCTCAGAAAGATAGAAGATAATTTTACCCTTCCATAGCCTCTAAAGTCCACAGTTTGACCAAACCCTAAAAGTCAACAAAAGTCAACAGCAAGCGCGTACGTTGGGCGTACTACTTTGCCATGCATGCATCTGGAAACTTCGACGCTACGCTGCGTGTATCTGGGAGTACGCTCAATGTACGTCCCAGACTTACTTTTCCCACTCTCTTGGTCTTAATCCGTTAAGACCATAGCTATAATCTCATATCTGGACTCATTAAAGGCTAATACTCCATAAAGTTTGTGACTTTAAGCCTTTGCATGGCTGAGAAAGTCTAAACTCATAAATTCTCACTCCTTACTCACAAAAGTTCTCATATATCATGCATGGGGAGATCTTGACGTCCAAGATCCTATTTTTATGAGTCCAATCAACTAGAGACACTTAAAGGGACATGTATTTATGCTCTGGAGTTCAACAAACTCATAAAGCTTCAAGATTTGGGACATAAACCCTAAAATGAACCACAATATGCACAAATCAAAACAATGAGAAAGCTTTGAGCTTGATACCTCCAAATGATGCACCAATCACAGGGAAACTCATATCCAAAGCTTGGACTCCAACTCCACTCTCTTCAAAGCTACTTCTTCACTCAAAGAATCCACAAAGAAAATTCAAAAGATTCAAATGGCCACTCAAGCTGAGAAAACAAAAATTAGGGTTCTGAGGGGAGTTGAGGACTAGAAATGGTGGCCAGAAATGAGGCCATCATGTTCCTTAAATAGAGACACACCACACAATTAGGGTTTTCACTCTGAGCCTAGTACGCCCAGCGTACTAGGTGACTTCCGTGTCCAAATCATGCACATGAGTACGCTGAGCATACACATGCGTACGCCATGCATACTCAGCTACCACCTTTTCTCAAATAAGGGCCAAATTTGACAACTACAATAAAGTGAGGGCTATTGAGATAAACTTAGTCTTAGGATGTTACACTAGGTTAAACACGTTCTTGACGTTTTCTCTTTTTCTTTCCTACGCCGATGATAAAATCACCACCGTTCAACTACAACGTGTGACACGCTTGAGCCATCTGATGTTGTCATTCGTCCAATCTTCTTCAGTCAACCGTCTTTAGTCTTTGATAACCGGAATACACTCATCGGAGAAGAAACCTACTCGACCCTCACCTGGTTTTTTGGAAGAAGAAGTGGAGGCATTTTTAGTTTGATCCCCTTCAAGAGCAAGAGTGTTTGACGATTTATGTTTTTTAATTGTCGTAATAAATTACAAATACAAGGTATCTTTTTACTATCTAATTTAGTGTATGACTTTGTATGAAATCGTGACCTTTTCATCATGTTTATAATTTTTATTGATTTTCAAAATGTTGGTTTGTGTTATTTAGAACTTAGAAGCACGACTCGTGGCCTGTTACAACCATTCTTTTTCCCACTTTTATGTTTGGTGTTTCTTTTTTTTTTTTCTTAACAATGGGCAGTAGCAAACAAATATGTTATCTATTTAATTTTAGATTGAAGTTCATTATGAAACTATATAACTAATTTAAATATGTGTCATGAAATTTAGTCTACAGTATTTGTTAACAGCCATATGTTTAGATTTTTATTTTAAATATATTGTTAATTGTTTGATGCATGTACATAACTATGTTTGATCCATCCCCGACTCCAACTCCGGCTCAGGCGCATTCAATCTGTAGCTGTGATTCCGACCCTCACATCCGCACCAGGTAAATCAGTTTCTTTCTTTTTCACTGTTTAGAAATCAATAGGATTTCTTTGTTTTTCGTTGTTTAGAAATCAATAGCATTTTGAGTTGAGTCAAACATCATGAAATCAATTTCTTTCTTGTTTATGGTGCTAACCTGAGAAACATCATGCTTTATTGTTTAATTTTGCATTTTGGGTAGATTCAAATGTTTTATACACTTATTTTTGTTGACTTTAAGACCTTTTGGCAAAGGTTTGAGAGTATATCATACAATAAATAATATAAATATGTTATGAAACTTTGTTTCACTGAGAAACACTACAGATCAACATGTTTAGGAAAAGTATAAAAGAAAATATAATTCACTCTACCAATTTTTACTCTTTTTTTAATTAAACGGTGTTATTATATTTTAATTTAATTTAATAATATAGATAAATATCTTTCTTAAAATAACTAAAATGATTGGTCCACAATCATTCTTACATCCACACAATAATTAGTTATAATACAATAACCTAAGTCATATATATATATATATATATATATATATATATATATATATATATATATATATATACAGAGAGAGAGAGAGATAGGTTCAGGTGTTTTAAGTAACTATTGTGTTATTGTATGCATAAATGTGGGCCAATCAAAATTTAAAATATAAATAAATAATTAATTAAATAAATAAGGGTAAATAGGTAATTTGATAATTAGTTTCCACAAATAATATCCTATAGTTATGGTAACCATTGACTTCGGCTACTAGGCTTTTTAAAACCACCGTAACCCTAATCAAACCATCTTTAGCCGTCACCTCCATCCTTATGCCTCCCACCACCGGCTGCCACCCTACCATCTTGCTCCTCCGACCACCGTATCCACCGCCCTTCTGTCCCAACCAGATGGCAAGATTGGAGAAAGCCAACAACACATCCCCTTTTACCGACTTTCAATAGACGTTTTGGAGAAGCTCTCTCTCTCTCTCTCTCTCTCTCTCGTCATCTTTATTGTTCACTGGAAAAACCAAAGAAGAAATCGGAGGCTGCTGCCTCCGATCAAGCCTCATCGGCCCTCCTATTTTGACGAAAAAGCAAGCCTAAGAAGCCCCTGCACCATGTCGATCTCGGCTACAGGAGCGAAAAAGAAGAGATTGAAAGAGTTTTTTTTTCTGGTATTGCTCCAATTATAGGTTCCATATATCCCCTGTGAACACTACTAATCACTTCATCGACCATCTCCATCTTCTTTGTTCAAATTAGGGTTCTTGATTTCAGTTTCTCATTTGTTGTTTTTTTGTTTAATTTTCCAGGTGAGTTTCAAATTAGGGTTCTTTATTTCATTTTTGTTACATTGGTATGTCTGAGTGTAAGCTTGGACTGAATGAAAGAGTAATATTTGCGGCACAAGGACGAACTACAAAGGGAAAAGCCATTGACTTGGATGACATTAAGTTCCACCAGTAATTTTTCATTTTCTTTTAAATCTTATATCACATATATTATATATATAGATAGTTTTTCATTTTCATTGACTTGGATGACATTAAGTTCCACCAGAAGAATATCATTTGTGCCTCCTGATAGAGCATGTGACCCTATGACATATCGACTTAGCACTCAGGTGAAGCCTTTGATATGGGTGGAAGCTGAAATTGAAAGGCACTCAAGAAGCCGAATGGAAATTATGGTAAAAGTTAGGAGTCAATTCAAGGAGCGTAAGTTCTTGTTGCAAAGGTTTGATCATCTCCATAGCTTGTCTTTTTTCTGATTCTTTTGACAGGAAATGATTAATTTGCTTTTCATTAGAATTTTTTTCCTGATTTAACACTTCATTTATGTGGACAGTGCAAGATCTTGACAATGTTGAATTCTGAAAAGGTATCAAGTATGTTTATGTAGATGATTCAATGGATTATATTGGTGAGATTCCAAATTTATTGGAATGGAATCACGAATTCCAATTCTGTTAGAATGGAATGACGAATTCTAATTCTGTTAGAATCACAGAAGTTGATGCTTAAAGAACAGACCACAAAATTGAAACGGACCACATTATTCTTTTAGAATGTATTAGTCATTGTTAGATTTTAATCTTTTCTTTCCCGTTTTGATTGTTTTTTAGTTTTATTCTTTAACAATAAATGTAATTCTTAACAATTGTTACCCGTATTCTATAAGAAATAATGTATTTTTTGTTTTTATTCTTCAATTGATTGTTCAAGAATTTGTTATTCTACAAGAAGTTTTTAAATTCATGATCAAGAAATAAGTTCAAGAATATTTTTATTATTTATGGTTCAATAATATTTTTATTTTTGAATATACTCATAAACATATTCTGTCAGAATGTCCGAATTAAAAGAATTATAATTCGTAAAATCGGATTTTTAAAATTAATAGAATCTATGATCCATTAAAAAAATGCATTTTTCCTTTATTAAATCTATATTAATTGACTAAATTACCCTTGTAATTAATTAAGATGATATTTTCAATTATATTTAATTCAATAATATATATTAATCACTTTCTTAAAATAAGTAAATTTGATTGGCCCACATTTATCCATACAATAACACAAGAATTACTTTGAATAGAATAACACACACACACATATATATATATATATATATATATATATATATATTATATATATATATATATATATATATATATATATTAAGTATTATTATTCATAGATGATACACTAGATAGAGAGTAAACGTAATTACGAAATTGCAGAAATAAAGAACGTCGAATAACAAACATGTTTGTATACATTTTTATAAAACATGTGTTTGTATACATTTTTTTATTTATAAAAACGTGTTTGTATACAAATGCATTATTCTAAAATAGGTGGTTGTACACATTTTTTTTTTAAAATACATGTTTGGATACATATTTTTCTATAAAATATGTGTTTGTATAATTTTTTTTTATAAAAATGAATTCGTATGTATTTTTGTATTTAGATGCACAGAACATATTTTTTATGTACCTAATAAATAAATATTTTACTAAAAACATTGAAGGTATATATGAGTATAATAACATGGGTGTATTTCATTAAATTTCACATAACTACAATTATAGAAATTGGTATTTAAAATAAAAAAAATGGTTTTCATAAATAGGTAATTTTCATACAATTTTTGTTTAAAAGTTTTTAGATATGTGTTTTGCATACAAAAATGTTTTTTAGAAAAACATTTTATATAGAAAAAAAGAAGGTTTTTTAAGTGAAATATGATTTTTGTATAGATATGATTTTATATAGCAAAAATATATTCGAAACAAAATTCTGATAAAAAAATATGTAAAAAAACAAAATTTAGGATGAATTTATAAAAAGCTTTGACATCTGGGCCAAAAGTGTAAATTTTGGTCCAAACTTGTAATAAAATTTAAAATCAGGGCCAAAAATATAAATTTTGAAAGTTGGATAATCGTTGATTACGTAAAAGATTAAATTAAATATAATTCCCGGTTTTTGAGACTTAATTGAATAAAAAAATGGAAGATATCACATTGTCCCTACAATGTATTGCACATTTGCTCATTCAGTCTCTTAACTTATTTTCATGTTTTATGGGGCATAAATTTAGAAGTGACTTGTCGTTTTAGTCCTCGTAACCATTTTAGCTGGTTTAAAGAGACAAATCAACAAATAAAGCCACATCAGTGTCATTACTATTCATGGAGAGAGCTTCCCTAACACCAAGTAACACCAAGTCAACAGAGCAAATAGTTGTATGAGAGATGGAAATTAAGCAACATCATTTATCATTTAAAGCATTTCCTTCGAATAACCCTATTCGTCTTCAAACCTAAAGTTCGTAAATCCTATATTAGGGGTTCTATACTTATTTCTCAACGAATCAACCTCCGATTAACGCAATCTACATCTCATTGTCACCAACCACCACCATCAATTATGGTTTGTCGTCGCCTAAACCCACATCGCCACTCAGATTTCTCCGAGAGACTTTTTCCCCTAATTTTATTTCATCAAGCTTTCTAAGACACACAAAAAATGTAGTAGCCATGGGGCTCAAAGTTCTCGAACAAGAAGGTTATGGAGATATTAAAGAATAAAAGAGTAAATTGATGTCGATTACAATATAGAATCCTTTTTCGAGGGAGGGTGTGACTATTCTTCGATTTCAAGGGTTTATGGGAGCTGAAAACTCAAAAATAAGATGTCGATCCAGAAGAAGACCATGAAGTGTTAAAGGTGGTGGACGGGGTGAATCAGGTCGTGGGTTTGGAGGAGAAACGAGGGATAAGGTCAAAAGAGGTGGGGCTTTTCAAAGTCAAGTTTATATAGCAAAAGGGTAGCCTGGTTACCCCTTCATTTTTTTCAAAGTGACTGAATAGACCCGACAAAAATAAGTTTATTTTCTCATAAAGCTCGAAAATAAGGTAAGGGACTGAATGAGCAAATGTAAAATACATTGTAGGGCTAATGTGTCATTTTTCATAAAAAATATATAAGAACTAAATCGGTTATGATGCCAAAATATAAGGATTTTCATGGAGTGTTTCCAACAAAAATAAAATAAAATAACTTTTTCGTTAATTTTAGCTAACATGATATATATTTGGGACTAGTCTGTTAAAAAAAATTAGGTCTTTATCAAAAAAATTCCCAAAATAATAAGGTTTTTCTCCATAAAATCCTTATCTTTTCTATTAAAAATAAGAGAAAACTGCAATAAAGTGATTACATATTGGTCTTATAATCGATTTAGTTCTTATATATATTTTTTTATTCAATAAAGTCCCAAAAACCGTTTATTGTATTCAATTTAATCATTTTACTTGGCCAACAAATCATCCAACTTTCAAAAATTATATTTTTGGCCTAGATTTCAAAATTTATTACGAATTTAGTCCCAAATTTACACATGTAGCCCAGATTTTAAATTTTATTACAAATATGGTCCAAAATTTACCCTTTTAGCCCAAATTTTAGAATTTTGTTATGAATTCATCCTAACTTTAATAGTTTTTACAAATTTTTCTCAAAATTTTATTTTGAATATGTTTTTCCTTTAAAAAATCATATTTATACAAAAAAAAAACGTATTTTCACATGCAAAACTCTTATATTTTTATATAAAAACTTTTTTGTATACGAAATACCTATTTAAAAAATAGGTATTTATTAAGTACATAAGTATATATACAAATCCGTTTTTATAAAAAAAATGTATACAAACATGCATTTTACAAAAAAAAAAAATTTATACAAACACCTATCTTATTATAAGTACATTTGTATGCAAACACATACTTATAAAAAAATGTATACAAACACCTATTTCATAGTAACCGTATACATTTCTTTTGTAAAACACACACATACACAAACACACACACACACACATATATATAATATATATATATATATATATATATAGCACACACACACACGTTTACTATGAAATATATGTTTGTTTACATTTGTTATAAATATGTATTTGCATACAAATGTATTTATAATAAAATAGGTGTTTATATATATATATATATATATATATATATATATATATATATATATATAGACACACACACACGTTTACTATGAAATATATGTTCGTTTACATTTGTTTATAAATATGTATTTGCATACAAATGTATTTATAATAAAATAGGTGTTTATATATATATATATATATATATATATATATATATATATATATATATATAATATAAATGGATTCGCATATATTTATGTACTTAATAAATACCTATTTTTATAAATAGATATTTCGTATACAAAAAAGTTTTTATATAGAAATTATAAGGTTGTAGAAAACGTTCGGCGTTAACTAGTCGGTGGAATGAGGTTAAGGGATTAACCAGTTAAGCGGAGATTAATCGGGAGATTAATTAGGGATCATTAATTGCCAATTTCTTCAAAATAAGTTAATTGCCAACTTGTTCAAAGTTCGTAAATACCACTAATATCATAACAAAATAGGTGAATATGAATAATACAACACTAATCATACCTCAAATAGTTTCTATTGAGAAATAATTTTTTCAAAGTGTTAAAATTTCATCGTTTTATACTGTTTCACTCATCGTGTATATATGGATTAATCACTAGGTGCCCTCTAGTCGTCCGAGTAGCGCCTAGGGATTAATCGGAGATTAATTGGGACCTAGTCGGGACTTTTACAACAGTCTGAAAATATAAGATTTTTTATGTGAAAATATGTTTTTTTTGTATAAATATGATTTTATAAAGAAAAAACATATTCGAAACAAAATTTTGAGAAAAAAGTTGTAAAAAAAACTAAAGTTATGATGAATTCATAACAAAATTCTAAAATTTGGGCCAAAAGGGTAAATTTTGTACCAAATTTATAATAAAATTGAAAATCTGGGCCAAAAGTGTAAATTTTTGAACCAAATTTGTGATAAATTTTGAAATCTGTGCCAAAAATGTAATTTTTGAAAGTTGGATGACTGGGTAAAAGGACTAACTTGAATACGATTACCGGTTTTTGGAACTTAATTGAATAAAAAAAATATATAATGACTAAATCGATTATGAGACCAATATGTAAAGACTTTATTACAGTTTTCCCAAAAAAATTCAAAAAATAAGTTAGTTTGGGCATATGCTTTGTTATGAATATATGTACTATCCTAATTTTGTTTATCATTGGTTTTAAAAATTATGTCTTACGTTAACTTTTTTTCTAATAACATAAATAAATATAGGTACAAAGATTTTTTAAAAATACATGTTGTTAGGTTTCAATCGTTATTATCCAATTTATATAAAAATAAAGTAAAAATTGAATTGTCACGATATATATTCATAATTTCTTAAAATAATATATAAAATGGGTGTAAACTGAAACATAATATTTATTAATATTTATTTTGTGAAAAGATGGAGTATGAAATACTAAGCATGTTAAATTATATAAATTCAAGGGTGTAAACTAAAACGGAATCTGTTTTTTTTTTAAATATATATATTAATTATGAGTAATATACTTTATTGTTTTAATTATAATAATCTTTTGTGTTTAAAAGTAAATTAGTTATTTAAAAAAATCAAAAGTAATAAATAGTGATTATGTAATCATTATTTATTATTTAAAAGTAATTAGAGATTATTGTGTAATGATCAGGTTGTCTAATTAACGGCTTATCTTGTATGGAATATATGGGCAACATTAAAGTTGACTTAAGGTCAACGATGCATTAAATTTCTCCAAATTAGGGTTCACCTTGAGCTTTGAAATTCGGTAATCCATCAGCTTTTAATGATTGTTGTTAACGAATCGAATTCCTCCCCCTTTTCCCCATGTAATAAACTAAAAATTATGTTGTTCTTCTTTGTCCTTGCCTAGTCACTTGCTCATTGGGTTTTTTAATATATTTTGCGGTTTCGAAGAAGAAAAGGGGCAAAACTAAAGTTGCATTCCGTTGACTCAAGGTCAACCATGAATGAAATTTCTTCTTCAAATAATCAAACAGAGGGAGCACATTTGAGCATAGCAATTTATTACTTGCTTTTGATTCTTATATCCATCCGCCTTCGATCGTTGTTCACAAAATGAAGCCGTTTCAACTTTTGCATTTACTCGTCTTGATTATGCTAGCAATAACATTAATAGAAGCTCAGTTTTACAGCCAGCCACCATGTAGTTACAAGTGTGGGGATGTTTCTATTGAATACCCTTTCGGGATTGGGAAAAATTGTTCTGCCAACGAATGGTACAGAGTTGATTGTGATGCCTCAACACCGTATTTACCTGCACTCAACAACGCCGAGTTGTTGTATACTGGATACAACACAGTCACTGTAAATATGTCCCTAATTAAAGCTGACTGTAAGAATCCAGTCAAGAATAGCAGTCTTTTCCTCAGCACCAGCGATGGCAAAAGTCCCTTCCAAGTTTCCAGATCGCGGAACATGTTCAGATATAAGGGGTGCGGCCTTCTTGCCATCATGGACGATGGGGTTGTTGTCTCTGGTTGTTCAACGACTTGTGGCGAAGACGCTGTTAGTGACTTAGACTCGTGTTTTGGCAATCGTTGTTGCCAAACTACAATTCCTGATTATCTCCAGTCGTTTATCTTCAATCTAACAGAATTTGAACGACAGAATGGATGTGGGTCTGCCTTCTTGGTGGATGCAGACTATGAGAGAAGATTCCTAAGCCAATTAGTTGTGGGAGATCACACTTTTGTTCCAATATCACTCTCATGGAACGAAATCTTTTCAACAACATCACCTGATGAAGAGGAAACCTGTGGGGATGTCAGGATTCCATACCCTTTTGGAATCAAAAAGAATTCTTCTCGGGCCGAATGGTTTAACGTGGTTTGTAATTCCTCCACCCCGTATCTACCTGCACTCAACAACGTGGAGGTGCTGGTTGTAAACGCAAGCCAAGGGACGGTCACTGTAAATGTCCCCAGATTTTCTGATTGCGAGAAAATCAGTTTTTTTCTAGGTAGTAGAACTAGTTTGAAGTTTTCTGCTATTCATAGCATATTCGTGTTTGAGGGGTGCGGCAGTGCTGCCCTCATGTTGGAGGAGTGGAGTGACTATATTATCACCGGTTGTTCGACGACTTGTGATAATAACACTGTTAGTGACATACAGAACTGTTTTGGCATTGGTTGTTGCCAAGCTACTATTCCTGATTTTTTTAGCTCAGCGCCGTTTACCATTAAACGAAAATACTTGGAAAGGCAGGCTGGAGATCAAAACTGTGGGTCTGCCTTCGTGATAGATAAGAATTCATTCATCGAAGGAAGATTTTCTCGCCAATTTGTCCCAGTAACACTTTCCTGGAGAGCAAGCTTCGATTTATATGATAAAGAATGCGTAATTTGTAGAGACAACGGGGGATTTTGCTACCATGATGCTAACGCAAACTCGGGCATCCGTTGTTTTGTTGATTTTGGAAGCGTCAAAAAATTACATAACGGTGTTATTCTTGGTAAGCTATTCTCTCAACTTACCATCCCCTGTGTTCTTAATTGGCTTTTTATTTTCCTTTTATTTCTGTTTTTTTTCTTCTATAATTTACAAATTTATTTTTACACGATGATTTATTTTTTAATTATGATAAAAAGTTCGTAAATTTATTAATTATATAATTTTAAAAAGTAAAAGCTGCATGTGAGTTTAAATCATTGAAATTAGGAAGATGATGTTGAAGTCTTTACATGTTTAGGAAATATTGGAAAAGCTAGATTTCATATATATGTTGTCTATAGAGAGCATAGAAAAGACAAATAATATAAAGTTATAAACTAACACTGCACATGTTGTTTGACCCACACATTACATACCTTAGCGTAAGAACTTGTGGTGCCTATATAATATATATGACTGATATGAGCCCATTGATACCAAATAACAAACCGAAAATGACTTATACGAGTAACTATGTTTTAAAATCGTTCAAAAAATATCATTCAAGTTTGGTGTGTCTAAAAAACATCATTCAAGTAAAAGCATTTGTACAAAAAACATCAGTGAAGCATATATTCTTTGTTCAAATTTGACCTTGTGGTAACCGACAATTACCGGTAAAAAATAAGTAAAGGAAAAAAAAAACAAGAGGAAATGACTCATAGGGGTAACTATGTTTCAAAATCATTCAAAAAACACCATCCAAATTTGGTATGTTCAAAAAACACCATCCAAGTAAACTTTTTGTACAAAAAACACCAACAAACTATATGTTTTGTTCAAATATTATCCACTGGTAACTGACTCTTACTGGTTAAATGATGACTTGGCTTAACTATTATGACATGACATAATATTATCGACAAAACAATAAATGATATATTTCTCCTTTAAAAATCGATTTAGGGTTTCTTCATGAACGAATGACTTCTTGACTTCTTCTCTTATGATTGCTCTTCTTCTTCTAAAGTGATGATCTCGAATTCAAGTCCAAAACCCTAATTCTTGACTTATGGTAAAAAGGCCTCCTTTACCCCTGCCTCAATGGGCCTCCCTCCCCCTAAGGCCCAAATCCATAAAAAAAACCCAAAAAGGCATCCAAGCCCAACTACAAGGCCTCTAAGGCCCAATATGGCCCAAGAACCCCCAATATGGCCTTAAGCCGAAAAAATGACCCGCTACAACCAGGTGGGCCCGAGGCCTAACTTAAACAAGTACATACATACGCCCAGCATATGATGAAGCCTCTACGATCCGGATTTCAAGCCAGTACGCCTGGCGTACTCCTAGCATACGCCCAGCGTACTCGGCTAGGGTTAAGAACCGTCAATATTCTGAAGGCCATAACTTCTTCCCCCTAGCCGAGTATGCTGGGCGAACGCCATAACTTCTTCCGAAGGCCATAACAAAATCGGACTTAGAATGAAAAAGTTATGGCCGTCGGAAGATTGGCGGTTCTTGACCCTAGCCGAGTACGCGGGGCGTACGCTAGGAGTACGCTGGGCGTACTGGCTTGAAATTCGGATCCTAGAGGCTTCAGCATATGATGGGCATATGGATGGACTTGTTTAAGTTAGGTCTTGGGCCCACCTGATTGTACCAGGTCATTTTTTGGGCTTAAGGCCATGTTGGGGGTTCTTGGTCCATATTGGGCCTTAGAGGCCTTGTAGTTGGGCTTGGATGCTTTTTTGGCTTTTTATGGATTTAGGCCTTAGGAGAGGGAGGCCCATTGAGGCAGGGGTAAAGGAGCCCTTTTTGCAATAAGTCAAGAAATAGGGTTTTGGACTTAAATTCGAGATAATCACTTTAGAAGAATAAGAGCAATCATAGGAGAAGAAGTCAAGAAGTCATTCGTTCATGAAGAAACCCTAAATCGATTTTTAAAGGAGGAATATATCATTTATTGTTTTGTCAATAATTATTATGTCATGTCATAATAGTTAAGCCAAGTCATCATTTGACCTGTAAGAGTCAGTTACCGGTGGATAATATTTGAACAAAACATATAGTTTGTTGGTGTTTTTTATACAAAAAGTTTACTTGGATGGTGTTTTTTGAACATACCAAACTTGGATGGTGATTTTTGTATGATTTTGAAACATAGTTACCCCTTTGAGTCATTTCCTCTTGTTTTTTTTTCCTTTACTTATTTTTTACCGGTAATTGTCGGTTACCACAAGGTCAAATTTGAACAAAGAATGTACTTCGTTGGTGTTTTTTGTACAAATGCTTTACTTAGATGATGTTTTTTGGACACACCAAACCTGAATGGTATTTTTTAAACGATTTTGAAACATAGTTACCCATATAATTCATTTTCCCAATAATAAAACCAATTTGAATCGCCATTCAAAATGACAAATCCAAAAATCCAATTTGAAAAGGATGGTTTCACTTCTTAACCAAGGTTAAGTAACCTAAAACTAAAAGCTAAAACTAGCTAGATACCCATAGGTTTTTTATTTCGCACTTTGGTTTTCTACATTATTTTCTTGATTTTTTTTGAAAACTTTACCAACTCTCTTGTTAGTCATGTTAAAACTTTATAACATTTTGTTCAAACTTTTGTTATGATTACTTAAAACCGTGAAAATCTAAAATATACTAAAGTGTGCTGTTTACGGTCAATAAAATTCATTTAATTATCTAATTATTATCCTAATAATAATTTTGCAAGGATAATTAACTTTTAATGATCTTTAAAATTATGAAAATAAACCTAAAACATTGTAAATTGTGACTCACAAACGAACCATTTGTTATATAGCCTCTATTTTTGTGTGGTTACGTTACTCCATCCAAATGTTGTGTTGGTTTGTACCAAAAACAATATTGGAATTATCAATTAGTCTGAATTTTTGGAAATAAACCCGGTTTTTGACTTTGTTTTGACCCTTATATAAATAACTCGGATTAGTGACAGGTTTCAGACATAAAACTGTTTTTGTAACAGTTTTCAGACATACAACTGTTTGGTGACAGTTTTCTGATGAAAATGTTACTTAACTAATTTTTGGTCTTCATTTTGATGGTACACACGAAATTCATAACACCCAGATTCTCTGTTCTTGCTCTCATTTCTGAGACTTATCCGATTAAAGGTTGGGAGTACCACCCAAATACTTTAATCTGAAAGTGTATACACAATTCTCAGAATTTCCAAGCCTTTTCTATACCCCAAATTCTTACAAATTATGGAAACCCACGTTTAATTTTTATGATATTTACAAACCGAATAATTGTTTCAAAGTTAACACTGAGGTTACATTGTCATAATAAGAAATTACATTACATTGTTAAAACATCATAACCTATTTAGCTTAATTTAAGGGGACACTCACATGCTTACGTAGACGCTAGATCAAAATATTAGCTTTTTCCATCGCATATACATCATAACCAATACCTCAGAGAAAGTAAAGTTATACATCATAACCAATACCTCATTGTCAGTATGTATAGAAGTGTAGTCCTTAAAGAAGGTGAGAGATGTATGTACTCTAGAAACTTAATACTTCATTTATGTAATGTTAAATGTTATTAAGGTTCTTGTATTAACTTTTTGTATTATATTTGTTGTTCAGGTGTTAGCATAAGCATGGGGTCCCTTTTCCTAATTGGGATTGGCTATGCATTATACAAACTAATCAAGAAAACTAAAGTCAGTAGAAGGAAACGAAGGTGTTTTAAACGTAATGGTGGTCTACTTCTTAAACAACAAGAAGAAAGTGATATTAGTTTAGTTGACAAAACCATACTTTTCACATCCAATGAACTAGAGAAGGCGACTGACAATTTTAATGAGAATAGAATTCTTGGACGGGGAGCGCAAGGTACAGTATATAAAGGCATGCTAGTCGATGGAAGGATTGTGGCAATCAAGAAATCGAAGGTGATTGATGAAAGCCAACTCGAACAATTCATCAACGAGGTAGTTATTCTTTCGCAAGTCAATCATAGGAACGTGGTCAAATTACTAGGATGTTGCCTAGAGACCAATGTCCCACTACTTGTCTCTGAGTTTATCTCAAATGGTACCTTGTATGACCTTATTCACGATGAAACTGGTGAGTTCTCAATCTCTTTCAACATGAGATTACAAATTGCGACAGATGTTGCAGGAGCAGTTTCTTACTTACATTCAGCAACCTCCATTCCTATATACCATAGGGACATCAAGACTACTAACATACTTTTGGATGAAAAGTATCAAGCTAAAGTTTCAGATTTTGGAACTTCAAGATTTGTATCGTTAGAACAAACTCACTTGACTACGTTAGTCAAGGGGACATTTGGTTATTTGGATCCAGAGTACTTCCAATCAAGTCAGTTTACTGAAAAAAGTGACGTTTATAGTTTCGGAGTTGTTTTGCTAGAACTCTTGACAAGCGAAAAGCCAATTTCCTTAACTAGATTTGGTGAAAATAGAAGTTTAGCTACGCACTTTTTGTTAGCCATGGAAGAAGGTCGTGTGATGTCTATTTTTGATGCAATGATTGTTAAGGAGGGTTCTAGGACTGAGTTATTAGCTGTAGCAAACTTGGCAATGCGATGTTTGAATATCAATGGGAAAAATAGGCCAACAATGAAAGAAGTCACCATCGAGTTAGAAGGCATCAAACGGTCACATGTTCCCTCTATGGTTGAAACTAATATTGGACATGTGAAGCATTGTGAGGAGGTACAACTATCATATGGCGAATCAACATCAACATCGATGACGTTTGATTACAACCCTCGTCAATGAATGTTGGTAAATGTTAAGTTTCTATAAGTAAGTCTTAGTTTCTACTATTATAACTATGTGTTGTTATATAAGTTATCTCTCAAGGTCAAAGAGTTTGGTATATTGACTATATCTCTTTCTTCTTCCTCCCTTATTTAGCTTAAGATTTTGGCATTTAAAAATCCATTTTACGGGTTTTTATCGGTTTTACTCTTAACAAATAAAATATGTGTTTTGTGTTGAGTATTTGGGTTTTATCATCATGTAACATCTATAAAATTCCTGAAAATTTTAAACTTTTTAAAACCAATCCAAGTTCATAAATTGTTTGCAAAACATCCAAAACCAATATTGTTCACAAATTGTTTTCAATATAAACCAATATCAGAGTATCCCAGAAATCAAAATCATATCATGTGAGGAAGTGTACGATAACGCCTTCGCCTTCCCTCAATCATTAGAAGTACCTGAAACAAAACTCATAAATGTAAGCTCAAAGGCTTAGTGAGTTACCCCCAAAATACCAACACCATACAAACCAGAACAATATCATATCAAACAGTATGCATATTGAGCCATCAGCCTGACTCGACTGCCTCGTAGGGCCTACAACCTATCTGGACTGTTCCCGAGCCTTCGGCATGCCTGGACCACCTCGATGGGCCTACAGCCTCTCCGGACCGCTTGCCGGGCCTTCGGCCTGACTGGATCGCCTCGCAAGCCTTCAGTGTATCCGAGCCGCCCAGGGTCTATTGGCCTTCAACACAAAGTAGGACCACCTCAACCCAACCATACACACATATGTCGACATACTCATAACACATAAACAATCAACAAACAGGCACAGATCATACAGATCACTAAGCATAACATCATCCTATCTACTAGGTGTAACACCGTAAATTTCAAAACAATTTTTCTCTTGAAAACATATAATTCTCAATGCATATTTCACAAAAACATCATTTATTAAAATCATAAAACATAGCTCCATGTTTAATTAAGTGGTAATCCAGGATCCTTAAAGCATAATTCTTCTCTGGTGTGTACAATCAAGCCGGTGCCATCCCACGATCCTGAGAAAAACCTGAAACACATAACACATAACACGGTAAGCACGAAGCTTAGTGAGTTCCCCAAAATGCCATATATAACACATAATAGCCACTCGAGGCTGTAACTCTGTGGACCCTCCGGTCCTAACTCTGTGGACCCTCTGGTCCTAACTCTGTGAACCTTCCGGTTCTAACTCTGTAACTCTGGAACATACACAGCATGAATCACATAGAAATAATGCAGCGTATCACAATCACATAAATAGCATACAAGATACTCTGTCACATAACTCTAATTACCACTCTAGGTAAAGTATAGTGAGAAGACTCACCTGACAAGCAGCAAGTAAATACCCTCGCACCCGAAACTCGAACTAGCCTCCGCCTAGCACAAAAGATGAATATCTCTAATCAATACTCTTTACACGACCCTAATAAATGAGGGCTATTCTTCTTTCTCTAACTCTTGAATTGGATAAAAGACCATTTTATCCCCCCCCCCCCCATGGTCTCCATTACTCATGTTGACCAAACCCCAGAGTCAACAGAAGTCAAACTCGAGTCAACAGTCCATGTCTGACCCGAATCGCCGAGTGCACCCTTGCGACTCGTCGAGTCCACTTACTTTCCTCATAAATCTCGTGACAGTCCAGCTCAGCTCGTCGAGTTGACCCCCAACTCGTCAAGCTATCGCATGCTCAAGCTCATCGGGACAAACCCTCACTGACTCGTCGAGTCAACTCATGGACTCGACGAGTCCCCTCGGTCTGATTCCTCATTCAGACGTCCAAAGTCAGATCTCTCATTCCAAACCCTATATCTAGCCCTTTAAGACAACAGAGACACATAAAGTCTCGACCTTTACGTTCATGCATGGCATAAATACCTCAAAATGCCAAAACAAGCCCTTCTTAAGGTGTTAAGCACAACAACCCTCATTTGGATGAATAAAGTTGGGACCTTTGGACTCTAGGGACCTCACAAGGTCCAGATCTGAGGACTAGGCTTCTAGCTTATCCATTTTACTCAAAGTCCCAAACCAAAGGTGGTAAAAGCCCTAGAACTACAAACACGTGAGATCTAACCAAAATAATGAGAAAGGTGCAGACTTTTACCTTCCTCAGAAGCTCTGGACGATCTATCATTGGATCCAACTTTCCCCCTCTTGATCCTTGCTTGATCTCCTTCTCTTCTTCTCAAATGATGCACTAAAAATCCCAAGATAGCTTCTCTCTCACTTTCTAGCTCAAATGACCTTTAGGGTTTGCTTCCAAGGAAAGGGTGGCCGCAAATGAGGCTATAAGTGCCTTTAAATAGTTCCCAAACTCCAGAAATTAGGGTTTCTCTAATCAGCGCCTACTCGGCGAGTTCCTCTCCTCGGACTCGTCGAGTCCACTCATTAAATCCATGGGAGAAACCCGACTCGACTCGGCGAGTTGGACCCTCAACTCGTTGAGTCTCTCCTTTAATCACAAGATTAACCTACACCATAATACCTCTGAAAATCCGGATGTTACAATTCTCCCCCACTTGAATTAGATTTCGCCCTCGAAATCACTCCTTAACCACTCACATAATGAAATCATCAACGCAAAAGGCACCACCGAAAGGATTTTATACTACCCCGACATCTTTCGCTATGGACACCTGAAACCACACAAAACTCCCAGGACCAGAACTGAACCAGCTCTTCCGCCGTTAATATACTCCTCCCCACTATCCGGAAGCTCTAGTGGCCTGACCCCCGCCAGACCGCCTACTCAAGCGATCACCATTATATTCGCTTCTCGAATATCAAACCCTGATAACTCACCGATCCTCTAATTCCCACAAGACCAAATCCAACAATCGGCTACCGCTCACTCATATCAACATGCTAATGATCCAAATCACGTCCCAAGAAACGGAAGGGTCCACACCCCACCAGGGATCATACACTAAACTGCTATCAGAACCCATCCGAACGAAGAATCCTCAACACTCTGCCCTTCAGACACAAGCGAATAACCAGGCTCGCTCAGAAGTGTCCTCAGACATCACAATCACAAGTCCCAGCTTCGTTCCTCATACCCCTTTTAATACTGAGCACTAGGTCAACTTCTGACTCCACAGTTGAACCTCCAAAGGTCACCGATAACATATCCCGAAATGTCTTACTGACTTCATTCTCATAACAACTATCTCGACCCAGTGACACCCAAGTCACAAAGTTCTCTTTACCCCAACGGATTCCACAATCCTACAAAATTGTTTCATCCTCGACCCCCATCGAACACTACTCCCTAGATATGAGCGCCTCACGGTACCTCCTGCACCAACGAACTGACCCACTCTGGTCCAAAACATCTGATGACAACAATATTCCTCAAAATGGAACCCATCTCAGAATCCGGAGTCTCATTTCGCCTACTCAATGCACCACTAGAGTCAAACTCAATATCGAGAGTCTGGTCCGATCCAGATTTGGAACCACTCGTTCCAATGAACCACTCAACTCATGACTCATGACCCGCAACCCATGCGTACCTCACTGATTCACTTCCCTTGGCCACGAAAACCACTACTCCATTCGGAATATAACGACTTCCGACAAACATGGAGACCCCAGTCTCGCCCCTGGTTCGTCCCCAGGCTTCCACAAGTCAATATTAGGGCTACCCAAGCCTAAAACTCTTCTGCGTCAAGCTCTGATCAGAGAGCACTTCATCACAACATTCTCTCGCTGACTAGTGGGTACTACAGCTCCACGTAGTATCACAACGACCTCTCACTGAATAGTGAGTACTACGGCTCCCCGTAGCATCACCACACCCCTCACCGAATAGTGAGTACTACGGCTCCCCGTAGCATCACCACAACCTCTCGCTGAATAGTGAGTACTACGACTCCCCGTAGCATCACCACACCCCTCATTGAATAGTGAGTACTACTGCTCCCCGTACATCACCACAACCTCTAGCTGAATGGTGAGTACTACAGCTACCCGTAGCATCACCACACCCCTCACTGAATAGTGAGTACTACTGCTCCCCGTAGCATCACCACAACCTCTCGCTGAATAGTGAGTACTACGGCTCCCCGTAGCATCACCACACCCCTCACTGAATAGTGAGTACTACGGCTCCCCGTAGCATCACCACAACCTCTCTGCACTGTCTCATTGAAACTACAGCTCTCCACAGTCTTACCGCATTTACTCTTACCACTTCACAATCTCATCCTCAGGTTGACACCACACTGCGATCATTAACTCATGCTCTATGGCCCATCATAGATAGGTACACACACCCATCCAACCTAAGCATCACTACTTCGGACAATCACCGTCGCGACGAAACCTCTTTTCCTCGATGCAATTCACCTTCTCAAATAAATCCATTTGATGTCAATTAGCTGAAGGGCCCCCACCAGAACCATAGACACTTGATTCACCACTTGTCCTCTCAAACTCAAAACTCAAAATAATCCGAGATTTAGGACATTAAACTCGGATACCCCAGAATACCATCACAACGCCTCGCAGTGTCTTGACTCCACCACTAATCTCATACTCATGGCATCATACTCAGATACCGCATTGCTTCCTCGAAATCTCGCAACCGATCTTTCTCTTGCGTCACTTGTAACCCCGGAATACTCCATCTTCCAAATTAAAACACGGAGAAATTGCCAGCGACTCAGAACACGAAGATGACAATCCAAAACTTCCTCCTCTAATGCTCAAAACACATGCAAGAATACTCATAACGACCCTGAAGTTGGTTGCCCAATCAACTTCTTCCCTTCCCATACTGTATATAATAGCCCATACTCTGAACCAGAAATTCTCAACCGCCAAACTAACCTCGCAAGCCAACCACCTCGAATTCACCATTTTAACCATGAAGGATTCCTAACCAGCACAAGGTCTCCGGCCAAAGGCCACTTGCTGTGGAGACACTCATCCTTCCTCGAACACGTACCACATGCACTATCTCGCTCTGCACCTCTCCTTGACCACCAATAACCCTGGTCTCAGGAATCCGTACCGCATGCCTCTCTATCCAGTTCTCTAATCGCTCTTGAACAAATCTCTGATCTCCTCTGAAGTACCCGGTTCTCCCCCACTCAGGGTTCGA